GGGTACCAATCCATAAAAAAAAAACAATATCAAAATCAAAATTTCATTCAATGGATAGATGGACGTAATAAATTTAAATGCAAAACAAGGGTATGCAAGATTTCATTGAATTGCATCTGATATGACAAAAGGATATCCATATTCCATTGTAAAACGGGAATGTTGTAGGTGATGAATGATTTCAATGGCGCTTCTTACCGCCACCCTTTTTGTTACTTTTGTTATTCTTCTTTTTCCCTCCTTTTCTTCTACCTTTGCCGGCCATTTCGTTTCCAATGTCACTATTCCTAGAAGGAGCTGGGCGTAGTAGATGCTTGACATCAAGCACACCATGTTTGAAAAAGCCTTCACTCGACTTAAGAACCTGTTTCTCGGGCTTGCGCTTCCCCAACGAGTTTCTAGAGTGGTTACTACTAGCCATCCCGCCAAATTGACTAACATTCCAATGCTGCAAACAACACGAGTGGATGTAGGCAAAAGAAAAGAAAAAAAAAGCAAAGTAACCCATCTTACGGATTTCCTTACCTCTTGTACCATCTTTTGTTCTCTTTCCTTCTGCTTCTTTATGATTGGTCGTGCTACACTTAGAGGCAATCTTTGTTTCTTTTGAGGCTGCCCCATGGTAAACGCAAGAGTCAGATGTAAGCTTTAAAAATTACATTCATTCAGCTTACCATAATAAATTGAGCCTACAGGAAACATATCCATAGTTTGTAATCGTACCTTTCCACCCAAAGAAACAATTTTCCTACTCTCAATCTCCTTTTTGTCTTTCCATGACATATGAGAGGAGGCTGATATAAGGAACAAAAAACCAAATTAGCTACTTCATACTTGCTCCTTTTATATTCATTACCCAAAAACTGCACACACAAAGGGGAATTTTCTAGTACTACAGCCTAGGGTAGTATGGAAATTTTCCAAACTACCTCCATTCATTGTTTGCATATTTGCCATAACATTAGCATTTAAGAATGGTGAGGGGTCTAAGTCTATTAAATAAAGTAATACATCGTCTATGACATAACAAATACGGAATGAAATGAGTATCAAGAACATCATAGCACTATAAATTTTCCCCGAACAAAGGGTGAGGCTTTACAATCAAACATCATTCAAACCAATTACTAAACATTTTGGTCAATAAATATTGATATAAGACCAGAGGAGGGATCTAAAGTCAAAGCGAGGGAAGCTACCTTATGGAAAGGTGTGATCATGAAGATGTTTAAAAAGTAGCTTGTACACAAATGGAATCTGAAAGGAAATGCGAGGATGCAAGTTACATACAGTTTCAACATCTATTCAGTTCCTTTGGAGCTTGACTCAAATCTCAAGTATGAGCGGAAACTAAAGCCAAACTACCAAAGCTCTTCAGTATATTACACCAGCACTACAATAATTAGTACAGACATACATTTCTAACAGGCTCAGAAGATTCATTCTATACATATCCTTCTTTGATAAAAGTCTAATAATATATAAAGATTCTCAATTGAAAGAAATAATTAATCCATTGATTTCGTTGAAATAAAATAGTTTCTGTGTTTTCCATCAGTATACACAAAATAGAAAAAGCAATGTGTCGTTAATACAATATGGCATCACATATAAGATTTGTAGTATATTTTCTTCAAATGTAAAACTCCACGCGTATCATTACGGCACATAAAACCAGAAAATAGGAGAAAATTGAACCCAAGGCTTTCATACATACTCTATAATTTCAGAAAGAAACTAGTCTCTTAACGTCGATTGAAATAATGAAACTCCCTCTAAAGATATATGCACAAATAATGAGCTGAATTCTGAGGGGGAAAAAGAGAAATTACTGAGGAATTCAATTTCTTTCTTGATATTTCTCATGTTCATTACAGGTTCCATATCCGTCGAGTTCCTAGATGATCCCGCTTTTGCACTTTTATCTCTGGAATGCATCTTCTCACTGAGAAGCAAAGAACTTCGAGGTCAAGAAGAATAAATGACGATACCAAGGGAAAAAACAGATAGAAAACAGAACACAAGATAAAATTGAAAACAAACTGCGGGAAAGAAAGGGATAAACAAAGAAATCTCCATCCAAAATAGATCAAATTTGGCAGAATTTTGAATCAAAACTGGCCTAATTCAAAATTCATCATATTTTAAATCAAATTTGGTTGAATCGAAGAAATAAAAAGAAAAAAAAAATTTGATCCAAGCAAGTTTTGTAGGTAGCCGACCGATTGATGGGGGGCTGCAGCAGAAGATGGGGTTGGCGTGGGGGCGTACGGTTGCAGCAGAGAGTGAAATAAGAAGAGGAGAAAGTAAAGTGGCGCTGGGGGCGCGTAGTAGAGAGTGGGGATCGGACGGCTGCTGGAAGGAAAGGCGGGTAAGTGGGGAAGGAAAGAGACTAGGGTTTACTTATTTTCCTTTTTTCTTTTAATATAAATATATAATAGAAGTATTAATTTTAGGAAAAAAATGTTAATTTCAGACAAATTTTCATTAATTTTGTAGCATGTTTTGACATTTTAATAGTCTGATTTTCGTAGCATTTTGGTCATTTGATATAATTCCCCATAATTTCAATTATATATTTCCTTTCCTATTTTTAAAAAGTTAGGATTTTCATTTAAAATCAAGGATAAGAGCATTTTTAAATTTTTTTAATTTTAAAATATGTTTTTTAAGAAAAAGTACAAAGTTTAAATGTATTTTTTAGTAATTTTATTCTTATATAAAAAAAATATTATCTATTAACATTTCTGCATGAAATTACTAGTCCTATCTAATTCAAATAAAATTTAATTTAAAAAAAGTTAAATTCAAGATTTATTGAAAATAAATCACGACAATAGTATTTATCTAAAATTAAAATGAATTGAATTATATGTATATTGAAATTTGTCATGGCTCAAGACTGACTAACCTGTGTAGATATCATAGCTAAATTCACAATGAGAATATCTTCAGAGTTCTACCAAAAATCAATGGAAAGATCCAAATCTTAGTAATTTACAGGACCGCCGTAGGTCCAAGCTCTGGTAAAAATATGTAAAATGTTTTAAAATTTTCATTCTCTGAAGCTTTGGGATCGGCAAAGCCTCACTGCGATTATAAGGATTGACCGTGAGCATCTGCGAAGAGTGTGGAGCCTCCTATGCCTTGTCTATCAACAGAGGCTACCAGCTGGAAACTCTACATCCATTCGCGCTCTACGGCTCTTGCTTTGTGGACGCTCTCTGCTCTGCCTCTGTGGAATATTTTGTTGTGCTCAAGCAAAAGCGCAGTGCCTAGCCTTCCTGGATCTTATCCTGGAGGAGGTTTTCAAGATTCTCAATGCACGTCTTCAATAATGATTTGGCGACTTCATTTTTCTCAATCTCGGACAGATGAAGAAGCTCGGCTTTGATTCCGATGTCTCTCCGGTGGACAAAAGGTACGTCGTTATATAGCTTTATGATCTCCAATAGGCATTCTGAAGCACTGATGTGAACCTAAATTTGATAAACATAAACTTATGAAACCATAGGAACTTGGTGGAATATGAACAATTAGCCCTTTATCCTGTAGAATTAACATAATAATTCAATTTTAGTTTGAAAGTTAAATAAATAACACACCTGAGCAATCTTGACGGTGGTTATGCACTGAACTACTAAAGGCGATACAGAATGTGATAACTGTAGATGAGAGGGAAAATATTATTTCAGATGTGTTTTACAGTAATCCATGGCAAATATAAGCTATCAGTTACCTCAAGAACAAAAGAAATAGTGCTATCAAGTTTGTCTCTCCCTTGAGAACCATGATGCAGGACCTCATGAAACCTTGAGCAAAGTTCATTGATTGACGAAAAAGTCGAAGTTTTCACTGAAAGTGACGAGTACAGTTTCAACATCAATGAAGCCAACTACACAGTAAGAGATGAGAAGAGAGACAAGAAGAAGATACCAGTCCATCGAAAGCCATTAGACAAGGATGTAGTAATCAAATGCAGCAAGTTCTTCTGTTGTTCAATAACGTCATCTACATCGGCCACTTTGATGGAAGATGTTAAGCAATTTAAAATTTTCTCTCGAGGAACTGAATTTTCTCCTTTATCATCCGAGTCTGCATAAAGTAATTCTGGTCATAATGCGATCAATAAAGCCTCACAAGGCAAGTTGATGAGCATAAATCTATGACCATATAGATACACACAAGTGACAGTAATAGATTGGGGGAAATCCTTCATTTGTTATTTTTTAGATTAATTTTGTCTTTCCTTAATGGATCAAGGAACTCATTCAGACTCTTCTGTAGTTGTAGTCTATTCAACATGAAGATAAAACTGACTGACTGAAAGTAGCAAGCAAATTTGTAGAAAATTTGATTGGAAGGAATGGAAGAACATGTTTTACGATAAAGTAGGAACCTGTTTTGGCGGCAACACCTCCCAGGGGTGCCTGCCCAGAATCAGCTGATTTGCAAGCCTCAAATAACAATGGGAAGACAATACGGAAGAATTGGGGACTGCCAAAGGCCTTTATAACCTGAAAACAAGCAAACAATGGAAGATAAGTGCAGGCCAGCCATTCTGTTTTAAATGCCACCATCCATATTTCAAGACCCAAGGAATCCAAGCAACAAATTAGGAACATTATTTGTTAACATTCTTTAGTTTTTTTGTTGTTAAGCTTTTTTAGACAACTTTTTTTTTTTTTTTTTTTTTTATGATTAAAACAGAAAAGAACATGCAGTAAGGTCCAGTTGAAGAGCATGCTTGAAATTCTAACAGCCATAGATGACACAAGTAATAACCAAAAAGAAACCAAATTCATGAACGAGTTAATGGGACCTCTATTAACAGAAACATTATGCACCTGCTCAAGACAAGTAAACGCTGCTTCTCGGAATTTCTTTACTTTCTTGGTGCAGGAAGAAGATACCAGGTTTACAATGGCATTGGGCAAGGCAGGATCGGAAGAAGAAATTAATTTGTGGCAAGCAGTTGAAATAGCACCCAGTGCATCTAATATGGTATCTTTTCCCTGTCAAAGCAAAGACAAAACAAACAAAGGTAATCAATCCCTGTCATTGCTAGTCAGATTTTTACCATTATTCTATTAAAATACCAGAATCCTCTTCATGCTATGTTCGTCAAAGTAAAATATATGCAAAGAATTCAAAGTTTCATCAAATAGTTTTCTTCAGATGAGACCTATTCCTGAAAATTATTTCTTTTAGGTAATAAAGTAAAATAATATAACTGTACCTCCCATATATGACCAGAAACTTCTTTCATAAGAGATTGAAGCAAGACTTGATGATAAGATGAAATGGACTCGCCCAAAACCTCACAAAGTTTGCAAATTGCTTGTGCTGACTACAAAATAGGAACAAACAAGCAGAATGAAAAAATGATAAAGGAAATCATTCAAATTAGAAAAATCAAGAAGGGAGCAAGAACATTACTTTCTTTTTACTGGTCCATGATGATGATGTAATTCCATTGCAGATGAGAGATACAATTTCTCCCAGATACAATTGCAGAGTAATACGTTCGCCACTAGTATTTTCTTCCCACAACTCCTCAAATAACCCAGAAACATGCTTATCATCTTCAAATCTAAACAAAAAAACAAAAAAACTTTTCAATCCCAGAGTAAATAGAACCTAAATGATTATCCTTTTGATCAGGTGTCCTAACTGATTCACTATGCGATGTTTAGGGATATGAATCAATAAAGCAACATGAAATACGGAAACAATTTTAAAGATTGAAGTTTAGCAAGTCTACTACAAAGAAGTTTCCTTCAAACCTGGAGACAAAAATAACTGGAATAACTGCTGCAAGATGACCGCTCAGAACGTCCGAGGCCATGGATGAATAGCTTTTCAGTAAAAGAGCGCAAGAAATTTGGTCATTCCTATCCCCTGTATGAAGAGATGTAGTATCTTCAACTAACTTCTGAACCTGAGATTGTGCTGAAAATTTCATAACAACTGCACAGGCAGCAGCAAAGGCACGTTTTGCTGCCACACTTTTTTCCTCCTTGACAACCGGAAACAACAACCTCAATAGCATGTTTGAATATGGCTTGATATCAGAACCAACCTTTTGAACCAATAAGGTCACAAAGTTGGCAACACCAACCCTGTTCAAGAAAGCAAAAAAAATTTAAAAATGAGATTTAACGATACCAGCAACAAATAGATAAGAAATTAGTGGCTTCGATGTCTTTGGAACAAAAGACGTTCGAAGGAAAAAAATTAAACCAAATAGAATGAAAGGAAAAATTCGAACTCCTCTTAAATAAAAGTTACGACAATTTGCATCATACAGACCTAGTGTTGAGGCCTACTCCAGACCGAATCAAATGAGCAAGGCGAGGAATCAATGAATTTAGTGATTCATCATCCACAACTTTTATGCACATGTCTAGAGTTTCCCACATAGGAGATCCCTTTGCAATTGAAATTCTGAGATTCTCAAGCTTGTCTGTTTGCACTCCAACATTTGCTGCATGCAACTGTAAAAATCAAAGAATTTAGTAACCCCTACACCACAAATCGGAAAGGTAAACGGAAAACTTAAACGATCCTATAATTTGTACACTCAACTTTAATCTTTACCCACTCAAATATTGTAATTGAACCATTACAAGTTTTCTTAATCTGATTTTTTTTTTTAATTTAATAAGAAACAACCACCAAAAAAAGAAGAGAAAATTGTGCATACACAACTTGTAATGGTTGGTTGTTTAATGATAGAACAAAATTGTTTCCCAGAGGAAGACCAAGATACGACATTGGAAAGACACCCACCTCACAACCCACCAGGTTAGTTCACTCTCATTTTAACGGGGTCACTGGTCAAGCCCAGAATCTGGCACTTACTTCTATTGATCTGGCTTTGAAGAAAGCAAAAATGTGATCCAAAATTAAAAAAGACTACTCTTCCCCAAACAAAAGAAAACTATTTCATCAGCTAATGGAAGAGGAGAGAGAATCTGTGGGACCCTACGTCGGTCGGAGAGGAGAATGAAGCATCTCTTATAAGGGTGTGGAAACCTCTCCCTAATAGACGTGTTTTAAAACCGTGAGGCTCACGGTGATATGTAACGGGTCAAAGCGGACAATATTTGCTAGTGGTGAGCTTGGACTATTACAGAATCACCTTTCCCTTACACCCACTTTATACCTTCAATGATCTTCCCTTCAACACATTTGGAAACCATTCAAATTAAAACATCTACCAAGACAGAAAAGGAAAGAAGAAAAAGGATTCTCTTGCCTAAAACCTCTCAAAGCTAAAATCATAGGCCAAAGAGAAACAAAGAATCTAACAAGGGACCAAACATCGCCAAAAGAACTCTCGCACCCTTTCGAAGTTAGATTCTTACCCTTATGACTTCCATTAATAAG